TCCCCCTCCGCGCAAGACCGCGTCCTGCATTCCAACGGCAACGCCGCTCGCGCGCTCAGCTGCAGCGGGCGCTCAGGGAACAAGCCCCTCATCACCAATACTTCTAAAGTTTCTCTCACAGTACAAAAAGGGCAACTGAGTAGAAAAGAGTAAAAAGACAGGGTGTTTCTGACTTGGGGAAGAGTCGGAAATAACTATGGGTGAGAAAACATCACGTGGAGGAATCAGCCATGTGGAAGTAATTCCACAGGGTCTGAATGTTGTCGAAAGGGCCAGCACCTCTCCAAATGACGACCTCTTTTAAACTCTTTCCATACTCTCCTACTCATTTCTAATCTGGTTGGACAAAATTAACTCTAGTGAAGTACCAGTGCAGTTATCTAAAGGTAAAATGTATCTCTTTTTTAATACAAATATTTTAGTGTAATAATTTTATTTACAGAATTGCAAAAGTATATCATTAACATTTAGTGCAAATGCAACTAATAATAATTAGATTTAGATACTGCTGTGTAAACTTTCCATACCTTTGTAAAATAAAGCTATCCAACTTAGTTACGAAAGAGTTACCTGTCTGTGTTCATGATAGTTACCAGAAAAAATGGCAAACAGAGAAACAATTATAGTGGGCATACAGAATTTTTTTTAAGATTCTCATCGGTGTCTATGGTGAATATACCTTCCCTCCCCAACCCTCCCATACTCCCACAGCCCAACCCACAGCTGATTGTAAAATAAAATACACATTTGAGGTATAAACTTTTCTTTTTTAAACGTCACAATATAAAATGTTAACTGGTGATGTAGTAAACTGATATGATAATTTGTCTTATTTGCCTTACTAGCATTACCACCATAGGCACTTTTCCATGTAGTCAAATTATGAACAGCATTTTTCTATAATAAGGCATATTCCATGCACATCATTTAGAGGAAGGTAAATTAAAAAATAGAAAAGATTTATGGAGCATGAAATCTGCGTGCGTGTAATGTAAGCATATGTTTTATATGTATTTTCTCTCTGTACAGAATAATAAATACCATTATATCTGATGCAAGTAATTCACCTCCAGGATTGTGCATATGAAGTGACCAGACTAATCCCATCATTAAATTACCACCTTGCATTTATCATTAAGACACCATTACCACATATGAAATATATACAGGACATGTTCCACGTGACATGACTTTCTGCTTTACAAAATGAGTCTGATTTCTGTGTTTCTACAGAGATGAACAAGTCACAAAGCATCTACACAATGCCTCTGATTTATGCAAGTGCATCTGTGTATAAACATAATGAAGATTTTGAAGTGGGCAGTCATTTCTACTTCAGTGAGTGTAATTCCTTGCCTCAACTCCATGCTTTAAGGTTTTTCAGAGGCCTAAAATGAATAAAACTAAAAAAGGTATTTTACATTTAACTACTTATAGCAACTAAGGAAAGAATTTCAGTTTTGGTCACATGGATCCTTTACTGCTCTGCTGAAGTTTCTGATCAAGAGGCAAACAGGAGCAGCGCTCACGTTTTCTATGCGTATCTTGCAACGTATTTTTTAAACTAACCCAAAACAGAAGAACTAAAAAACATACCTGCTACTGAATACTAAAAATATTGAATCGAATGTCAAACTCAAACAGTCCAATTTGCTTTCACAAGTAATAACTGTATATCCTCTTACAAATTTAATAAAAACGTGAGCTCATTTTATCCTGACCATTTTACCAGAAAGTAGTTTATACCCAACAAGATTTATACAGATGATTCTGTTTGAAGGCAGGCAGAACCAATTTAGGAATTGCCAAATTGTGTTTCTAACAAACAGACAAAAAAGCTGTAGCACACAGAACACAACTAAAAACACAGGAAATATAAAGATATTGGGGAGGGGGAGAATAAAACTTTTCATTCTTTCTCCATCAGAACCAAGGTCCTTCATAGGAGTAAGAATATAGAAAAGGCAAAATCACAGGTTACTGGCAGCCCTCAGTTACTGAGAAACTTTACATGACAACATGAATCATTACAGAAATCAGCAGCAATGAATTCTATGATTATACAAAACAAAAAAAGTCAAAAATAGGCCTGAAGAAAGAACCCCGTCCAGGTATCTGGTGCACAGAAAGCACATGCCCCAGGTGTGTTCAACTTCTGTGCTTTTCTTTTGTGCACAAAACCTGATACAACTGAGGATCTTAGGCTGGACCATACACTAAATGAAAAACTCTGAATAAGTTTCCAAAAATTAAAGCATCAATTCCTAGTTGTGATTCAAAGTTACATTTTCTCTCTTTTAGGAGCAAACAAAAATATAGCCATGTACATGTAATTTTACATGTATTTATAGTTATATGCTGAGCACGAAGGTCTAGCAGGAGACATCTAGGGTTAGACGTTCAGCTTTGCTATTGCAATATTTCTTCATTTTTGTACACAAGGCCAAGGTGTTGGGCCACAGACAAGGCTGTAGATCCTACGTTCCAGCTTAGAGCATTCAATTTCTGTGTGTATTTTTTTTTTCCTCCAACATGGAATGTCACACAGCCTTGCTTCAGTCACTGTAGGAAAGAAAATGACAAGTAAAAAATTCAGCAATATATTATTGCTAACAGCTGCAAGACTATCAGAATGGATTCCCCGTACAGTCTGAGTTCATGGAATGCACAGATTCTCTATTAAAATTCATCTTTTAAGGATTTTCAACTTTAAGAAAGTAAAATTATCCATCAGAAGGAATAGAAGGTATAAGGAATCTTTGAAAGTTAAAAAATATTTGAAAGGATAATGTACTACAGGTAAGCAAAGAGGGAATCAACCAAAGGCCTCAGGATCTGTACCCCACGAACTGGCATTTCCTTCTTTTCAGTCTTCAATAAAAATTATGCTATACAATGACTTATCTTAAAAAAAAAACAAAAAAAACATGCTCAGACTTTGTCAATGTGTTTAAGAGTTTTGAAAAGAAAAAAAAGGTTTTTTTTTTTATGAGATTTATTTATTTTTAATATTTATTGATTTCAAAAGGAAGAAGGGAGAGGGAGAGAGAGACAGAAACATCAGTGATGAGAGAGTCATTGATCGGCTGCCTCCTGCACGGCCCCGGCTGGGGATCGAGCCCGCAACCCGGGCATGTGTCCTGACAGGGAATCGAACCTTGACCTCCTGGATCCTAGGTCGATGCTCAACCGCTGAGCCACGCCCGGCCGGGCTTGACTAAGAGTTTTTAACATCTTTGGACCTCATTAACTTTACGGAATTTCTCTAAAAATGATGCTGACTACTGAAAGTTACTATTTCTCCACCACCCAAATTAAGAATGTTAGCTTTCCTAAGGTTTCAAAGCCAGAATCCACTTCACAGATGCATCTTCATTATGATGAAACAAATGTTACTTTAGGTGAACAAAGATTTTCACCACATTATGGTTTGAATTTAGGTTCTTTGTCAGAAAGAAGCTCAATGTGGACTCAAGGCCAGCGCTGAATTTTGGCAGCAAGTCTTTATTTTTCTATCTTTACATACATAAACACAGGTCCACAAACAATGCTATCTCCTTCCCCTGAGGTAAATTTTTTTCCAAAGGATTTCAACCCCTCCCCTAGGTCCATTAGGAAGAATGTGTGTACACACACACACACACACACACACACACACACACTCAATTAAACAATGCTCCAGATCCAAGAGTTGAGGAGAATGCTAGTAATGTTAGTATGTATATTTCAAATGTTTAAGAAAATTATCAATTTTCTAAACACAGTTGAGAGCATGTTCTATACAGGGGTAGGCAAAAGCAGGTTTACAGTTGTTTGTATGGAAATAATACAATTAATAAATAATAAAACAAAAACCAACTATGTGTTTTGCATACTCACAACTGTAAACCTACTTTTGCTCCACCCTGCATATAACTGCATTCTGATTTTTTCCTGCTTAATACACGGTTACATTTTCTGCCCTGCTTAGCAAGACTGGGGGTGGAGGTGAAGAAGAAAGAAAGCAGACTGAGCTGCGTGCTTGGTCTCGGTTAAAGCAAACATTAACTTCCTAGAAATCTTAAGGCTCTGGGGAGAGACATCCAACTAAATAAGGTGACAAGCTTGTTGCCACTGTGTGACATCAGGTTTCTGGTTTGACAGACACAGTGCACAGAATCAAAAGAAAATTGTGTGTCCGGATCTAGCCATAACAACCCTAAAGTACAAAATATTCTAAAAAGAGCACATTTATGCTATGCACTTATGCCTAAAGTGAGAATTCCTCAAAGGTCAGGCTCTTTCCCAAAACACTAAGCATTCAGATCAATAAGGTCAGGACCTGTTTAACACTTTCAGGCCACTTTTTTCCTGGGAAAAGCTAAATATCTGGGACATCAATGCAATAACCCTTGTGTGAGCATCTGACAATAAATTTAGCTTTTGAGGCATTTTTTGTTTTTAAAGACATACTAGACAGCATCAGAAACCAGATTTAATAAAAACATTAGTCATTAATTGATTATTGACTATTTCATGGAAACAGGATTATACAAATGTTCTCCAATGGACCAAAAGATGCTCAAACTCATTAATAATATGAGAAATACAATTAAAACTACACGGCGAGAGTACTTTTTACCTATCAAGTTGGAAAAAAATCAGAGTTTCACTCAACAAATTGCATGACAGGGTACAGGGAAACGGGTACTCCAATACATTATTGCTGGTGAGATGGTAAATTAGTACAACCTCTATTGAGGGCAATATCTAAATTACAACTGCACACCTCCCCACCCCCCCGTGCCAGCAGTGTCACATCAAGTAATTTATCCTACAACACTGTTCTAACAAAAATTGGAGCCCAGCCAGCATGGCTCACTGGTTGAACATCGACCGAGGATCCAGGAGATTGCAGTTCGATTCCCTGGTCAGCGCACATGCCTGGGTTGTGGGCTCAATCCCCAGTGGGGGACATGCAGGAGGCAGCTGATCAATGACTCTTTCATAATTGATGTTTCTCTCTCCCTCTCCCTTCCTCTTCCTGAAATCAACAAAAATATATATTAAAAAAAATTGGAAACAAGTTTAATATCTACAAATGGAGGTTTGATAAATTATGTACATTCATACAATGAGATACTGTATAGCCTTGAAAAAAAAAGCTCCCTACTGATATGTAAAAATAAAGTGCAAAAACCAGATGCAGAATGGTGTATACAGTACGCTACGTTTTCTTCAACAGCAGCAGAAGAGTACATGTGGGAAGAATACAATCATGCTTGCTTATTCAGGTGTTAAAAACAAACTCTGGAAAAACACAAGAAACTAGTAATATCAACTATACACTTCTGTGTGTGTGGAGGGGGCATAAAACTGGGTGAACAGGGAGCAGGGGATAAATTTTACTGAATATCTTTCCATACTTTTGAACCACATGTTAACATATGACTTATTTTCAGAAAATTAAAGATGCTGGCTCCTTACACAAAGATGGTCAATGCAGCATTATTTGACAGTAAAAACATGGAACCATTACAGTTGTTACCATGGGGACTAGTTAATAAATTCTGCAATATTCATATAACAGATATTAAAACAATGAGACGGTTGTATATGTCTCATATCTTTATATGGAATAATAGTAAAAATATGTTAAGTAGAAAACAGTTGCAAAACAATAAGTATAGAATAAGCACGTTTTTAAAAACAATAAAAATACATATATATAAGTACATATATAAAAATCTGAAAGAATATTCTGCAAGGGGAAAGATATCAGGAATTTGTACTTCTGAAAATCTGGAGTTCTATAATGTTGACATTTCTTTAAATAAGCAGGTATTACTTAATATAAGCGGAAAGATTTTAAAAAAGTAAGTTTTAAGGCTATAAAAACTACAACTCTTTATCTGGGAACATCATAAAACACAGAAACTAATTTCAACAGTTAACTAAATTTTAATATCTGCAGAATCACGTTAATCAAAGTTCAAAGGGATAACACAGATCTTCCAGTACCTGTTAATACTAGAACAAAATAGGCTTTCCTGCTGTTTTCTCTTGGACGTAAGAAGTAAAACGTTTTAGAAACTTTGGATACTCTCGTTTTGCCACTGCCCTTAACACTGAGGCTGGTGCCCATCCTCCAGGGTTCACTACGAGTTAAAGGAAAATTAAAATATGTTAAGGTACAATTCTCCAAATACATATGAAGCACTCATCTTGTTCCTTTGTTGGAACAGTAGGCATCTCTTAAAGTCTTGACCATTAATCCTTCATATTAATCACCAAACAAGAACAGATAGCAAATAAGAAAGCATTTATTACCTTTCTAAATTGTTCTTACTTTCCTAAATTAAAGCAAGTATTAGTATAGCTACACATTAGGTTACTTGAGACAGGTTTATTCATCAAACTCTACTATAATCAAATAGTGACTTACTCAGGCATAACTGTCTCTCTAAACACATTAGCAGTTATGGTCCTGTATAAAGAAGGTATGAGGACTAATCAAGTCCTCATAGATGGACTTCAGTAACTACTGCCAGTAGGAAACGGGTGCAGTAAAGAATCAAAGCAACAGGGCTGTCCAGCAGCAAGCCGATATAAAACAAGTATGTAACTAGCAACTAATACGGATTAGGGACCAATTAATGATTCAGAAAATGAGCAAGCCTGACAATACGAAAAAGAACTGCTAATTTCCTTTTCCACTGTTGCTTACATTTCTAATTCTATGTATATTCTTTCAGATAAATATTTAACGAAACGGTTCTTAAAACCAAGAATATGTGACAGTGATCTTGATATAAAGTTTTAAAGTTTATCTAGCCCCAGCTTCAAAAATTCTGATATAGTAGTTCGGGGTGAAATTTAGGTATGTGTATTTTGAAAGTTTCCCGATAGCTAGATAAATATCTTTCCAAATTAAAAATTACTAAAGGATAAAAACCCAAACAGCACCCAGCCAGTGTGGCTTAGTGGTTGAGCGTCGACCCATGAACCAGGAGGTAATGGTTCAATACTGGTCAGGGCACATGCCTGGTTTTGGGCTCGATCCCCAGTAGGGGGAGTGCAGGAGGCAGCCAACTGGGGATGTATCTCTCTCATCACTGATGTTTCTATCTCCCTCTCCCTTCTCCTTTCCTCTCTCTCTAAAATAAATAAACAAACAAACAAACAAACAAACAAATCAGTAAAAACATATTTTAAAAAAATAACAGAACAAACCTCAAAAGGTATTTGTAACAATATTTGCCCAAACGGTCAGTTATCATGTAGATCATACTAAAAACATCCACGTTACCAAGTAACAAAAACAAACAACGAAATACATACCATTAGCTACATATGTAATCTTGCATAAAATGTTGTCTCTGCTAATCTTCTGGTTTCCCTCTGGTGGGCTTACCAAGGTTTGACAAATCATAGCGATGTTTATTTTGGCACGGACACATCGATTGTTCAGCTGCCAAAACAAAAAATAGAAACAAAACCCCAGGATAGCAGATACCCAGTATTTTGTAATCTCTACTTAGTCTAATATTATACTAGGTTAATAGAAACCGTAACTCAACAAAATCTCCAACAAATCTTATAAGGACCAAGAAATAACACATGCCAAGCTGATAAGACACCAGAAATGATTTCCCCTCCTTTTACATAGTAAATGGAGCTAAATCAAGGCAGCAACCAGAGGTTGTGCCAGTAGTTGATCATGGTTTGAGAGGCAACTGTGAATAGTAGTATACATATACTACCCATCAGCTCTGTCTCACCCCACCTCAGGAATAAAGGAAAAGAGACCTGCTGAATGAAATGTTCACAGCCATGACTACTGTCCTTCAGATGGGCTATATTATTCCAAGAAGCCAAAATAACACAAAATCTAAAAATCATTATCGAATCTAGTACCTGTATGTGTGTGGCATGTGCTTATCATTTTTGCACTGCACTGTATAAATTAGCTTTATATTGTACAACTGTAGACATTTATATAGTGTACTTACAGGAGCACTGTCATGATCCACAGAAAAATTACAAACTATCCAAGTTTCAGGGTCATTTTCAGTCATGGCTGGTATCTTTCGAATGGCAGAGAGATATAATACATCTCGCTGAGAAGCAGGCCACACTCTCTGTGAAAGAAGTTAAAATCATTTGAAAATCTGAACTACTTTTTATTCATTAGTAATATGGAATTAACAGAGAAACAAGTGTAAAATCAATAACTACTGTAGTTGAAGGTAAAATCTGTCAAATTTTAAATGAGAAGCCTCTGAGAATACCCACCAAAGGATTATGAACACTGAGTTAATGGCTTTGTAGAACTATACCAAAAGAATAGTGTTCTGCTATTTTTTCTTCTTTTTTTTTTTAAAAAATATATCTTTATTGATTTAAGAGAGAGGAAAGGAGTGGGAGAGAGAGAGACAGAAACATCAATGATGAGAGAGTCACTGATCAAGCCCACAACCGGGGCATGTGCCCTGACTGGGAATCAAACCCCGATCGCCTGGATCCTAGGTCAATGCTCAACCGCTGAGCCACGCCCAGCAGAGCTGCTATTTTTTCTTCTTATTAAATTGTAATTTGCTATTTAAACCATTTTTAAGTGTACAATTCAGTAGCATTAATTACATTCATAATGTTATGTAAACATCACCACTATTTATTTTCCAAAATTCTTATCATCCCAAACTGAAACTCTACCCATTAAAAGCAATGACACCTGATTACCTCCTCCCACAGACCCTGGTAATGTCCTGCTTTTATAAGTACAGTATTAAACCTCAGCCTAAATTGTTCAGAGACTTCAGGGCAAATATTTTAGGGGAAGAAGACTGCTCCTTTGATACCATAATCACATTTGAAGAATTCCAAATCAATTAGACAGAATCTTTGAGTTTTATGGTATACAAAGAAAAACATATACTGTTGGAATGACATAGTACCTAGGTCTCAGAAAACTGGGACTATGTTCTTTTAAATGAGAGAAAATACACCTTGTCTTTTCTGATTGTTGAGTATAAAAATAGTCAACAACTCAATGTCAATACAACACAAATCATTTGCAAAGTGAAATGGTTCATCTTTTAAAAGATACAAAATTTCATGAAGTCAACAAAAGTGGTGTTGGAAAAATGTATGTGAAGCCAATAAATAAAAATTTGGCTATAATATTAGAACTAATAAATGCAAATCCAGAAGGATGATGATAAGAGAGAAATGTAAAGAACGAGAATGACTTAAATATCGGAAGATGAGTAGCTCTCTTTAAGGCCATATTATAAATGAAGTCAAATCTAAAGAGAAAGATGTATATAGCATTATTGGATTTTGCTGGAAAAAAACATGCCAGGAAAATTTTTTTATTCAAATAATTACAATTGTAACTTAAACTTTGTTATATGTGATACATTATTTTAATACTTTTTAATTTGATTTTTCAAGAAATAAACCTAATACAACCTATATAATCCTCCCCTCCATCTACTATTTACCAAGTGAAATATTTGCAGCAGATTGTTTTCCAGAATCAATTATCGTCAGATAATAAGATTCTTCTGATTCTAAATTATTGGCCATTTATTTTCACTCTAACTTACAGGGCAATTAATATTTTAACATCTACTAAATTTTAAATTTCACTTAGATTCCTCCCCCAACAAATACGTATGCTGAAACAAAATCTTCGTTTTAACACATTTCTTGAGCAGCTACCATGTACAATGAAGCCTAGCTAATAGTCATTCAATAAAAGATGCTTCAGGTGACAAGACTAAGCTTAAGACATACAGAGCAAACCTCAAATAATTTCACATATTCAGTTCAACTAAAAAAATCACTTGAAAAAGAGAAAAATGAAGTACTTATTGAATCCTATATAACACAATACTGCTTTTGATGGATCTCTCTGAAGTTTTGATTTAGTATTCTTTATTTGAAATACTATTTGGCAACTTTCAGAAGGGAAAGAGAGTAGAAGATGAATACTATTCTAAAATTTTAAATCTAGATTAGCAAAGGAAGAAATGAAGTAAAAGGGAACCAATTTAAATGACAATATTTCTGTGTGCTCTGGTGTATGACCAACTTCTCAAATAGTCATGCTCAGTAACTTTCCATTGCTTTTAGATAATACATTTAAGATCACTTTCACATCTATTAGGCTTAACATAGGCTAATAATATACTTTCCACTCCCCTTATTATATTGTTGTCACAGGAAACTGATTCACTTTCATATTCAATAACTATCCTTTATCTCCTAGAGAGACTAGATGCTAGAAAAATATTTGCATTCCTGAATTATTAATAAAGTCTTCAGATCTTTTCTGGCACTTAATTTCCTGCCAAATTTTACTATGGAAAATTTATATGTCTCAGTTTGAACTATAGTGAAATCCTTTTGGGGTGAAGAGATATTTACCTTGTGCGTCTGATAAATGATGATTGCATTATCGGCTAATGTTTCCACCACATGAAAGTTTTCTATAGTTGCTGAAATGAAGGGAAAATATTAGTAGCCAAAAAGACATATTACCTTTTCCTAGAACGTGATTAATTCAATTATACTGAAAGTCAATTACAAATGAACATTATGGTAGAACAAACAGAATTCTGCCCCACCTGGGCTACGTTCAAATGGAACGTAGTTAATATGTAATATTAGGACTATAGGCGGTGGCTGTGAGACCTGATTATCAGGAAGTCTCATTTTCTTTGGTCCAATATTTAGCTTCTACAGCAAGAAAGCAATTCTAACCACCGCTGCATTACTCAGGCACAAATTATTCCCTAACACCCCTTCCTAAAATCTCTAATTCACTGAAGCTGAAAAAACTGCTCTATCTAGGCTTAGGTGACTGTATTTATTGGGAAGAGATTGTCAAACTGTCACTGATATACATCTTATGATGTTCAGAAGTATCTATTTATAAAATTTGGTGTTTAAGGGAAACCGTCCCCCTGCCAAAGTCACTGAACAAACCAGAGCAGGATTCTTCTAGGATTTACCAGTGAAACAAAACAGCCTAGGAGAAAAGTAGATAAAACAGAAACCTTAATTTTAGTCCTGGCTTTTCCACTAACTAGTTCTGTGGCCTTTGACAGGTTACTTGACCTATCTGAATTTCACTTTATTACCTACCTATGTGGGGATGTTGAGGTATTAAGTCAAATGGTATAATATACTGAGCAGCATTTTATAGTGTGAAAATTCTACTTAAATATAAAGTATTATCAGTCCCCTATATGATTCTCCAAATATTTTCTACACTGACTTTGTAAACTATAGATAATATGCAGAAAACCGGGTTGAATTTGATATTACATTCTAAATAATTATATTAAAATATATTAATAATAGCAGCTTACTTTCCCAATCATTGCGAACGTCAACATTCCAGAAGTAATTGCAGACCTCGTGTCCTGTAACTCCTTTAACTGCATGGGTAGCTTTCAAAGGATCCAGAACAATCCCATTTTCTTCTACTTCTCTCCTATATACCTACATAGGACATATTTAAAAACCTGTTTAAAAAATAAAAATCAAACTCCTAAAGTACAAATTTGAAAGCATGTTTGTAAATTTAACAGCTTTTTAGGATTTTATTTATGAAACTCTTTATAGAACATAAATATTCTGTTAAAATTACGTTTAAAATTTCAAATTATTAACACATTAAAAATATTTAAAACTACAAATCATGGTAAACTTCAACTATGAAAAATATGCATATATGATGAATGACTACTATGAGTTGTTCAAAAAATAAATATATCAATTTAAATCAGTCATTTTTTAGTGAACATTCTTTATCTTTTTTAGAATATATATTTTTAATTTCAAACAGAGGAAGGGAGAGGGGGAGAGAGAAACATCAGTGATGAGTGTTATTGACAGGCTGTCTCCTGCACGCCCCCCGACTGAGAATTGAACCCTGACTTCCTGGTTCATAAGTCGACACTCAACCACTGAGCTACGCCAGCTGGGCTTACTGAACATTCTTAAAGACTGTTCAACATGGCAAAGAAGGACAAATAAGCCTGGTTAAAACATAATCTCCTTAGGGATACTGATTTAAGGCAGCTTTGTTCACTCATGTATCCCCCAGCATCCAGAATAGTATCTGAAACACAGTAAGGCAATTATTTGTTGAATCAATGATTGAAAACTGAAATGTAATAAAGATCTCTTGCTTTAAATACTGAGGCTGTGTATCTAACGTGCCAATTAAAATTATTTCGAAATTATGGAGGGTTTGCTATTTTAGAGAACTCTGTAAGAAGTTCGAGAGAGAAACATTAATTGGTTGTCTCTCGTACTCACCCAACCAGGGACTGAACCTGCAACCTATGTATGTGCCCTGACCGGGAATAGAACCCAAAACCTTTTGGTGTGTGGAACGATGCTCCAACCAACTAAGCCACCTGGCCAGGACCTGTAATTAGTCGACAAATGGATAAACATGTTCATAGGGAGAATCAGGTTCTCAATTTATGTAGTGCCTATGAGGCCAGATACTATTAGGCATTTCACAGATAGTTTCTCTTTTACAATCTCTCTCACCAAACTCCTTTCCCTACAAGCTTATTTGTTATTGGGACAGCTATTATCCTAATCACCTAAAATGGAATTCTGTAGACTTCTGACTCCTTCTCTCACACTTCATGTAGGGTATTAAGCTTTTTACCAATCTTCTATAAGACATCCAACAGCTTGACTGTTCTACTATGGTTACTCTGTTAGGTGGACTTCCACCATCTTGGACCTGACTCTCCCAAGTGGTTTTCTTGGTCTCTCGTTTCTTCCCTATCAGTTTAATCTTCTGAAAATGTTACTTTGCATAGTGGCTAATTGACTGCTACAAATGATATACTATTCTCTTTACAGGGTTACTTTATACTCCTCATAATGCAGCCCTAATTTCTCTCTCTCTGATGTTGTGGGCTGTGATCACCTCTTCTCTATTACTTACTCCCTTCACTTCCTGGAACCTCCCTAGGGGAGAAACAGCAACTTATCTGAACAGCGAGCACAGAGGGAGAACTAGACAGGTGTGGCTCAACCCTTCTTCTGCAGAGAGTATGCATTCTGGTCTGCTTTTAGGGCTTGCTCTTGTGGAGGGCTCTGATTATCCAGGTATGGCAGAAACATTGTTAAGAGGTAAAAAGACCTTGTGACAGCTGGTCTCCAGGCAGTAATCCCATGGGCTTATGAGAATTAGAGCCTTTGTATCTCCTTTGCCAGTCTCCTCTATCTTATGTCTTGATTTGTTTCCTATTCAGGAGGAGAGGAAATTCCAACATCTAATATTGAAGCCCATTTGCTAGGATATTTCTGGTCAACAGTCTCTATAAAACTCCTGAACAAGAAATGAGCTTTCAATAAGTGAAACCAGTCAGACAGAGAAAGACAAATACCATATGATTTCACTTACATGTGAAATCTAAAGAACAAAATAAAAGTAAATGGCTCTGGCCAGTGTGCCTCGTTTGGATATCGTCCCATTTACCAAGGGGTCGCTGGTTTGATTCTCGGTCAGGGCACATACAAGAATCAACCGATGAATGCAGAAATAAGTGGAAAATCTATGTTTCTCTCTCAAAAAAAAAAAAAAAAAAAAATTAATAAATTAAAAAAATTTTCTTAAAAGAGAAATATCGAAAGAGAGCCATCAGTTAATTGTGACTTGTTCATTTTTAAACTGCAAAATACTATTTTTCCACAGCCTAGGCAAAACAGAATGGTTTGTGCATAGATCTGATCACAAAGAAATTATACAAAACTAAACCAGGGAAGCAAAAGAACATTTTCTTTGTCAATATCTGGGGTTTTTTGTTTGTTTTAATCCTCACCAGAGGATATTTTTTCCATTGCTTTTCAGAGAGAGTGGGAGAGAGAGAGAAGCATCAATGTGAGAGAGACACATTGATTGGCTGCCTCCTGCACACACCCCGAGCAGGGGCCGGCGACCAAGCCTGCAACCTAGGTACGTGCCCTTGGCTGGAAACAAACCTGGGACCCTTCAGTCTGTGGGCCAACACTCTAACCATTGAGCCAAACTGGCTAGGGCTCTGGTGCTTCTTTGATCATATGTAATAATTTGTTTAAAAGTAACTTTTAAATGCTACCCTTATTCATATCAATAGTAATGACAATATGACTGGAACAGAGGTGCAATTAGCAACCTAGAGCATTTCACTGGGATATTACCTTCATTTCTCCTTCTTCTACAACCAATTGCCAATTGGCATCTCCACCTACATCCTGTAATGAGTAAGTCATGTGATTCTGTACCATTTCTTCAACCTTGAAAAGAAAAAAGTAAAGCTGTAAGAATCTGCCTCCAATGAATAGCTATGACATAATCTCTTTTTAAAAAGGAACGATATTCCATTTACTTCAGTTCAGAAATGATGCTCTTAGAAAGCTGAGCAACCAAATGCACACAGGTTAGTAGTCTGAAGAGTTTAGTCCACATTCCAGATACCATATCTAGGTTAATGAGAGGAGGGAGAAATGTGGGGAAGTAAGATGCTTCAATCAAATAACACACTGTACACTGGGCCTAATGTGCATCAAGTGACCAAAATAAGCATTTTTGGAAAAAAAATTTCCTTCCTTTACCATAACACACTTCCTTACAGAGATGATGTCTTAAAGCATAAAATCATTAAACTCTAAAGGTAAAAGGAATATGAAGAGACCATCTAGTCCAGTGTTTCTATCTTTAAGACTACACATTGAGATACTAGAAAACTCGTTAAACATCAAGATTTCCCTACAAAAGGTAATAAAACTTTTGTTATTTCACTGAAATGATAAAAAGATAGTTGCTGAAGAACTGGCTCCTTTGCCATCTATGCATAGACACTTTAAGGTCTATTTTCTAATTTTTTTACTCATAACTTTGTTTTATGCAATAAATACATTAGAGAAGCCAGAAAAGAATTGAAAAATATGTATATTGTACTTTGATTAAAAATGTATTTGAGTTTAACTATTTTATATAAAATCTATTGTGTTCATTAGAGATAAAAAAGCAAGAACTAGGTCTATACATATGTTGAAATAAATACTTTAAATACAAAATTAATGGTTTGGGGGCAGAAACGCTTAAAATTATTAACCCTGGGGATATGAGTTTTCTACACAAAAGGATGTTATCAATATGTACTGTGACATGTACTTCTGCTACATCAAGATTTCTGGACCTCAGAATGCATCTTTGGTGACCAAAAGCAGGTGGCTTTAAGTGTCTCTTCAATTCCAGTGATTGCAAAAAGGTTTTTGATACAAATATATGCTGAGATTCTACAATCTATTTTTGTATTAAGTAAACACTAACAACATTTTATTTCTTTATTCATAATCCTCAAAACAATGTGATTAGTGTTGGGTTACAGACTTGAGAGAAAATTTAAAATGTGACTAACAGTACATTCTATAATTTTATAAAGCCTGAATTAGAAAATATAACTTCAGGGCCCGCCTGGAAAAACCTGTGTGTCTCTATAATTTTGAAATATGCTTTTAGAAGTGAAGCATGACTAATGTGGGATTCCAAGTTACAAATACATTAAAAATATATCTCATTTCCAAAAGAGAACAAAGAAAGTTCCAGTTAGTGTCCTTAAATAAAAAAGCCGAAGCAGCATTGCCCTCATTGTCTGTCGCATGATTTGGAGAAATTTTTACCCCTATTAGATCCCAAGATCTTAAAAATCTTTAGATCTGAATATGTACTTTTTAGGAAGGACACTGGGAGTTAAGAAGACCTACATTTATTATAAGATTAGAAGCAAAAAGAAACGCTTCCTACAACTAAGCCCTACTTTTAATGGATTACTTGTGAAAGGAGAGTGTGAAGGATTTTATTCTGTTAAAAAACAAAGTGAGTTCTATTTAAAAAAAATTTTAGTGTCATTTAGCTCTTTTGTTGGAAAGTATGCAAGTAATTGTGTTTATGCTTGGGAGATTATTTCTCAATTAGTGATTTCAAAAGTTTGAAAAATGATTTGTTTTGGTCTAAAAGAAATCAGATTCCACAAATATAAACTGAGAAGGTAACGTAAGTTAAAACAATGTAAAGTACGTTTAACATTGTCTTTCTAGACAAATGAAAATAAAAATGGTATTCCTATCACAGTTACCACTGCAGCTATGGAAATTTTCAGTGTTTTGCTCTTATCTACTTCCTTGACTAAAGAGGGCTTGAAAAAGTCCAACAAAGAAACAAAATGTATTCAGTGCTGTATTCCTAGGAAATTAAAGAAACCAATGAAGTACTCAATTATTGTAGTAACTAACCATTTCTGCAAAGCCTTCATCATGAAATCTTTATCCAAGCATCTTCCTCTATCTAGGTAGTAATATTAAGATTAAGAAGAGAGCTGATACAGATATGATCTCATTATAATGAATTTTAATGTTCACTGCAATAAAATATGAAGTAGCCAATCTTACTACAGGGGCAGTGACTAAGGCATTCATGACCACAGACATTTCAGATCTAACCTACTCCATTTACTGTTTCAGTTATGACTTTGTATATAAAACATAAGTGGGAAACAAGGGACCAGTAATCTGGATAACAAGAATAAACACACACCAAATTTACCATTTTATTAGGCTCAAAATTTGATATACTAGGAAACAATGTTACTAGCAACACCTGCTATTACTTTATATATATCTTTATTGATTTCAGAGAGAGGAAGGGAGAGGGAGAGAGATAGAGACATCAATGATGAGAGAGTCATTGATGGCTGCAGCCCGCAACCCAGGCATGTGCCCTGACCGGGAATCGAACCCTGATCTCCTGGATCCTGGGCCGACGCTCAACCACGGAGCCACGCCCGGCTGGGCAACCTGCTATTACTTTAAAAATAAAAGAAGAAAAAGACTGGACCAAAATTATTGAAGCAGGTTTTTCCTGCTTTAATAGTATTTGCAAGTTTTAATGAGACTAAACATAATTTTAGGAATCAGGCCCTTAATTTTTTTGGACCTAGAGTAAAAAATGAGCTAACACACAGCATCTTCATACCAAGTAAACTATGAAAAAAATAAAACATATTTGAAATAAGAGGTGATGGTACTTCAATTATAACCCTTTCTCTCATCTCACATTTGAATCACTTGGTATGCCATTTTAGGAGGCTAATTGAATTTTTCTAACATTATTAACATAGTAATTTTAAATTTTTAAAAAATATCTCTATTTATTGATTTTAGAGGGAGAGGGGAAGTGGGAGGAAGGGAGGGAGAGAGAGAAACACTGATCTGTTGTTCTACTTAGCTGTGTGTTCATTGGTTGATTCTTATATGTGTCCTGACGGAGATCAAACCTGCAACCTTGGTGTATCAGGACTATGCTCTAACCAACTGAGCTACCGGGCCAGGGCAATACAGTAATTTTAAAAGAAAACTGCCCTTTGATACCACAACAAAATTGTAATAAACAAAATTCTACTGAACAAAAATCTAGGAGAGCTCAAACATAGTTCAGATCTCTTTCTTACCCATTTAAAAGGAATACAACTATACTTATTATTACAGTTAGGGTCAGAGAGAGAGATGTTGGATAGACTAGTTCATTTAATAACAAGTTAACAGTGTATTGTTAACCCAAAAGAAAAATGGCCCAAACCATGAAGAGTCAACTCACAGAAGAAATGCAAACATCAAGAAGCAAAAATACCACTTTTAGTGTATCAGATTGGCAAAAATTAACTAAATTATAATATTCAGTGTTAGTACAGCAAAAGAAAACTGACATGGGAATGCAACTGGTTCAACTTTTTAAATTAACAGTTTGGTAATCTAATGAAAAAAGTTGATAAGTGTGCATGGCCTTTGTCCTAACAATTCTGCTTCTAGAAATATATTCTAAGGAAATAATTGAATAATTGTTCAAAGATGCTTATATAAAGATGTATATACAAGAATGCCCATGTAGCTAGCACTACCTCTAACAGAAATAAAATGAAAATAAACTAAATGTTCAGCATCAGGTGAGAAGGTAAACCCAATATACATATCATAAACAAATAAGGATACAGAGGCCTTTACTATTACTGATGGGAAGATGGGCCTAATTATGTTAAAAAAAAAAGCTGGTTACAAAACAGTGTGTGTGTGTGTGTCTGTGTGTGTGTATTGAACTATTCTGGTAGAAAGATAATTAAGGTGTGTGTATTTATCATATGTGCCTATTATTTATATGCATGAGAATGT